GTCAATCAGCAATACATTTAGAAAGGCCCAAAGCAGTGCATAGTTGGGCTATGGGAGTGAAATGCCTCAAAGTGGAAAAAAGATGGTAGAAAAAGTGCAGCGTCTAAAAGACTGCCCCATCCCACTGATTACTTATAGCAATATTTTTAAACGCTGGTAGATGAAGATATTAACGCTCATCTCCATGTTAAGGCATGGAAAGTGATGATGCGCTTAAAATAAATCTATTGGGAACGGCGTTCAAATGACTTTGCCGTTAGCGAATGACATTCCAATTTAATAAATTAATAGCAGTTTCTGAAATCATTTTACTTGTCTAGCTGAAAAATAGGTATTTGAAGGTATGGTTTAATCCCACGTCATAAAATATCTGTAACGCCTTTGTGCCATTCCCCTTTTTACTGGTGTTCAATTCTTTTTCGTGATTTATTTTTCCGAATTCCAGAAGCAAGAACAATTGAAGATCTTAAGTTGTTTAAAATGCGTTTTATTTTTGAGTGTTGCTGCACATAAGCACAAGCACTACTGAAGTCTTGCTGTCCAATCACACAACTAGCTTAGTTACCAACCCTCCAGCCAATCGCATCATTTAGTGCATGACGTAGGACAAAACTTTCTCTTCTGATTGGCTTGCGACGTAACGCAGAGGAACCATACTCCTAATGCACCAATAAAAAGACAAGGCAGATAACCAGCCTTCTTGTTGTTAACTGCGCATTAAAAGCACTTGAAAAGCCGCTAATTCAGTGACAAGAGAGCCAGCTCTTATCCATGCCTTCTCTCAGCTAGGACTTAGACATAAGACAAGGGACAGTTTCGGTGCAATGAGATTATCTTTAAGTTGAAAAATACCATGCTCGGGAGAACCCATTTATCAATAATATTTCAAAAAGGAGAGAAAATACAAGTATAAGAATGGAAAGCATCTAACCAAATACTTAACTAAATTCATAAGTGACACCTGCTGTTAGATAGTGCAATTCTTGTAAGGCAGGAGTCACTGCGAAATTCGCTTTTATAAAGCTGTTTTAAATCCATGTATCCAGCTATTTCTAATCAAATTAGAAAACTACCTTCTGTGTTGTTGCATGTGAGATTTTGCTCCGTTATCGAACCTAGGTCTATGCAACTTTAACGGAAGACGGCTTAATATATATGGCTTTCATTGGTAACAGTTTTGCATATTTCATATAGTGTGGTCGAAATGTAGAGGCAATGAGATTAGGGTGATGGTAAAACAATTAATTTGACTGACAGAAAAGGCGATTTGCCAAGGGACGGGAATGTCGAGGGCCACACAGAAGCACGGCATTTGCAACAGGAGATATAAGAACAGCTTTCTTTCTTTTTTCTCAATGTGCACCTTCCCTATTCCCATCATTTTCATGTCTGCGACGATCATGTATTTGGCGAGGAATTAGAAAACAAGTTAAGTAGAAGGTTCTAACACCAAGATCAAGTGGTACAGTCAGTGTATTTTAGAGCTATTTTACTTTTGCGTAGATGAAAGGTATTCCGGTGGAGAGAACTGAAGGAAATAATGAAACAATTCCTCTGTTTCAACAAAAGATTGCGTCTAGCATAACCATGATTCGTTGTACGCTATACCAACACACTTAGGATATTTTCACAATTCCATTTCGTCGCACGGAATAATAAAACACTTGCAAACAATTGAAAGCATGATTAGCCATTATGACGAGGAAACCCAATGTCAGTTCAATAGACTGGTGAGATAATTGGCAAGAACTATGATTTTTTATAAAAAGACAGAACGGCGAAATTTCAAGTTTAAGATGTATGGGAAATAGAACTACTTACTGGCAAACGAAAGGCGTCAAAATTGAGGAATTACCTGTAATAGAGGTGTCGCCGATCTCGGTGGGGTGAGTTCCCTCCACTGTCACCATGCCGAGGGTAGTGGCAACGCTAAGTGCAGGAGGAGGAGAATGAGAGATGCACTTGGTCTGGACGTCGTGTGCGCTCGTTGCGGCGTGGCTGATGGGTGGACAGACAAACAGGCATTCAGATAGATGATGCAGTCGGAGGCGAGGTAAGACAGACCAGGTCAACAAACCTATTATCACCTCCATGTTGCGGTGACGAAGGGCCTTGATTGGGCGAGGAGATGTTGGTCCTCCCACTTTGACATCCTATGCAGCTGAAAGGAGTGAGAAAAAGGACCGTAGGGAGAGGAGGTTCTTCATCATTGCATTTGATTACTTACAGGAGAAAAGCAATACTTTTAAAGGATTACATTAATAATGGTTTAGGTGAGCTTTCGAATTACAGACAAAGCCTTAATAGGTTTCACAAAATGATTTTTGTACTCATTTTCCACCTGTCAGAAATCAGCGAGGGCACCAAACGTTAATATAATGAAATGCAGAACAGTGTGAGAAGCAACTTTGAGTGGATTGGTGCAGTTGATTGAACTTTCACGAGGGCAATTGCGTTTAATCCATAATTCTTAATCCCCAAGACTCAATAAATAATAAATTGGCAAGAATTTTACTAACCAATGACAATCCTGATGGTCAAACAGCTTTTGACGGACAAGGACCATTATAGGCATTTCTGCCAGCAAAACCGCCTACCCCAAAAATTTGAATATGTTTGCTGTCCTACAAATTCAGGGGTCAATGGTTAAATGACCCTGACCAAAGAACCAGCAATAAGTGGAAAAATGCAGCTAGTATAATGCGCTGAATTGATAAGTTTATCTATTTTACTTGTTGTCAATCAAAATAGGCGGGATGATCCCACGTACTTCGATTACAGAAATAGAGGGAGAATAAGTTTGCTGAAGAATACGCATGTTAAGTCAGAGATTCTAACCTCAACAGTGTCAGTTGGTGGTAGGATGTAAGGTAACAAATGTTGTATACTGTGATTTCTCACAGCAATGTCTAGCCAGCGCAAAAGGCTTAGTTATCAAATAGTAGACTGGACCCAAGCCATAGGATGCTAATCTCAGTGCCGTTCATTAGCGTCTCTGAACAGATGGAGAAAGGTGAAGGCATCTGCAAAATTGTGAAAATGCGCCAAATAATGTATAGGTAGGGCTAAATAGGCTAGTGTTTACATAGTTATCTGAGATAATACAAAAGCAACATGGTAGTTTATCCTGAGCAGTGCGTCACGTAATCAAAAAAAGCAAAAATCTAAATAACAGTGGTCATTTGCTGATGGATCGCATAAAATGGAGGCTCTTTAGTGTGTTTCTCCCATTTTTAATAATCCTTAAACGTGCAAATGCAAGTCCGCTATCTAGCCATCACAAGAAATGCATTCGGATTAACCTATTTCATAACGACCTACCTGGCAACTGATGGCATATCGTTGCCTAAAGTCTTTAGCCGGACACTGAAGAAATTTTAATAAATATGAAGAAAATCACACAAATTCATCAAATTTCCATCTACAGGCCCAGCACTACTGCGCTACAAACGTCTTTTGACATGCCCAAAAACCAAATATACACAATGGGACAAACGTAGTTTAATACACCAGCCCATCAGTTGACCACGCAGAATACAGGCTCCAGCTGAGTGTATATGAACGTTAACACATCACAGCATCACATCACATCAACACCTGTATGCATATATCATAAACACCTTTCGTTAGTCCTCCGAAGATACATTCATACCTCATTTTTTGCACCATTTACCCCAACATCGAATGAGGTGCTTTCTTTTCTCTTTCGTGTGGTTGAAGTGGCAGAAGAACACGCTTTTATACCTAAAAGTTAGCTCCTTCATTAATAAATTCTGTGAAACGATGCGAGAGGAGATAAAACATAGATGAACTGAGTTTGTGGGATCCATATCGAAAGGGTTGCAGTAATGAAGAGAGTGCAATGGCTGCAAATGGATCAGCGTAAGCGGATCGTGTCATGCACTTTGAATCTTGCGACAGCAGTGAAGGTTTGTCAGGAGGAGGAGAGGCGTTGTGAATGGTGAAGATGGTGCTAGACGCAGATGAGGAGAGGAGGTGCGAAGAAGTGGAAGTAGGATTGCGAAATGAGGATAAAGAAGTGGGCTGTAGGGATGTAGGATGTAATGGAGACGCGGATAAAACGTAC